TATTTATTTATTTATTTATTTATTTATTTATTTATTTATTTATGCTCAGTGGCCCTAATCCTATTCTGTATGCAGCTTTGCTTCAGATATGGTTTTAAATGTTGTCAGAATTGATACACTTTAGACTTTACTTTCAAATGTAAAATTTGAGCCATTAAAAAAAAATTGAAAGCTGCCAGAAAGGCTCTTTTAAATATTTGGAAATAGGGTTCTGTGGAAAGATTATGAATAATTAATAACTTGCTTAATGTGGATTGTTCTTTAATGGACAGTTGGAGAAACAGAGTTTCTTGTTGAAGAGCAAAAAGTCACTATGTTACTGGACTACTGGTTTGTGAACAACTTTTAAGAGGGAGTCTCCAAAATGTTTCGAAGACATTCAAGTTTTTTTTTATTTAATAATTTTTTTTGCATGATGGATTGAGGTTATCAATCTTGTTGCTTAATTTTTGAACATTGTCAAACAATTTGTGCAACTTTGCGACTTTCAAAGTAGTTACAGTTGAGGTGGATGTCTCAATTTTGTCTTAAACTCATCCCAATTTTTTTACAAGCGTCTCCAAAAATGTATGCGATATCACAGCACAAACTCTATCAGCACTGGGACTGGGATGGATCTCTTTTTTTCTTTCTTTTTTTTTTCTTTTACCAAACTGCTGACTGGTTTTGCAGCTGTGATTTAAAAGGTCTTTTTGTTGTGAAATAGTTTGAGCCCATGAGTCAAGCTTGAAACCAGTCACAGCTAGTCAAGGAAATAAAAAGGGGAGTTCAAGCATCATCTCACCTTGTGACCTCACCTGCTTCAGAAAACGTTAGCTGACTCGTTCATCTGAAGGCATTCAGGACCAGTTCTGTTCCAGTTCAACATTCCCGCACTCACTCCCCTCCTCCTCGATCAAAGCCATAACACATTTATTGCGATAAGACAGGTTGGGACGATTCAAGGTTCTGTTTAAACCAATGCAGCCTACCTCACACTGCCCTCACAGTCCTCCATTTGTGTGCCAAGACAAGAGGCAGACCTGCAGCGTATCAAAGATCGTTATTGCCGGAGTGTGTGTCTGTTAGCAAAATATCTCATGAGTCACTGGGCAAGTTTAAACAAAAATAGCAAGAAGTAATTATTGGATGTACRTTTATAACCTTTGCAGTTAATCAAATGCAAGCTGTCTGCTGCGGCCAACCTTACAAAAACACTAAAACTGGTTTAACTCAGTCAACATTGAAGATAATGATGTAATWTTTGGTGTGGTAGTAACCGCAACTGATCCTCAACATACATTAAAAAAAAAACTCTTGTTTAAAATAGGCCCATTAACTATTTGGAGTCAACTTTATCTGAATCACTGGATGGATTTCCATGAAACTTTCAGGGRGAAAAAAATCATTGGCTGTACGTCTATAACAGATTAACTTTTGGAATTAACCCAAATCAAGACGGCAAACATACACAATTGTACTTTGGAAGCAAAATTTGGTTATAACTTAGTCAATAAACAAGTTAAAAATAGATTAATACCTCTTTAGTAGTTGTTAGGTCTTGCTGTGTTTTGTGTCTGGGCAGGACAACTTTATTTGTACCACGGAAGCAAACACTGATAAGAAGGGAATGTTTGTCTTATAGCTAATAACTCACCAATGTCTTTAAAGCCTAAAATACCAGGCTGAAGCAAAAAAAAAGTTCTGAATTCTGCAAGAGGAAGTTTTTTTGCACTCACCAGATTTGTGAAGTTTGATCACTCAGCGTGGCGACAGCAAGTAATTATAGAAATCAACCCAAATTGTGTACATACAGTTTGTGTGTGTGTGTGTGTGTGTGTGTGTGTGTGTGTGTGTGTGTGNAACTGTGTTTTTTCAACATTAACAGAATATCGACAAAGTTTTGCGCACATTTGCAATGGAAACACAGCTAGTGATTCATAGATAAAATTTTGCTGCTACATACATACTTGAAGTCTTTAAATGGGATCTACTTCATTAAACGACTTCTGTTTTGAGCAGCAGTTAGTGTCTTCACCGATTCTTCAAGGTGAGATTGTTCTTACCGCTATCTACTGCAGGTAGGACACTGACCTCCTAAGTACCCCACACAACCCTGCTTAAAACATATTGGTCTATTCATCCGTTATTTAAACCTGCTTCTTCCTTTCATGGTTACAGGGGTCACTGGTGCCCATATCCAGTATTCACTGTGGAAGGGACACCTTGGACAGGAGTTACCAATTACCCTAACAGTCGTGTTTTTGATCTGTGGAAGGAAACCAGAGTGCCAGGAGAAAACCCACACATGCACAGAGAGAACATGCAAACCCTACTCAGAAAGGTCCCTGCCAGGATTCAATCCGGCAACCTCCTTGCTGAGAGGCAACGGCTCTGCTAACTGAGCCACTATGCTAGCCCCAACTTGATTATTTATTCAGAAATAATACCTTCACGTTTATATTGTTTTTTTTTTCCTGTGAAATATTGGGGAGTGTGTTTTAAACAGATCTCATTATTTTACCACTAAATGTGCGTCTATTACAACTTTCCTTTTTTTGTGCAGCGACGTCGCTGCGTGATTTGTCCTCCTGGTAGGCGTGTTTGTGATCTTCGGCGCCGAAGGATCTTGGTGTTCCGGTGTTTTCTGTCCGTGGAACAGTCGTTATCTGTGTGGTGTCTGTCGGGCCTTTCATTTTCAGTAACTGGCTCTTTAAGGGAACGGCACTCAAAAGGTAACAGCTATGAGATCATCGGCTTGCGTCGTCATGGCAACAAAGGCTGTTGCAGCACTACTGAGAAATAAAATGGCTGGCGTGGTGTCTCTTCCCCTCCTCCTCCTCTTTCTTTTTGGTGTCAGTGAACTGGAGCAGATTGGCTCTGACACTGCCCCCCCCCCACCCACACACACATGGCCCCTAATGCCCTCTCACTTTGCTCCTTCTTCTGTCCCTCCACCCCTCTTATTCACACTCCACACATGTGAGTCAGCAGGAGTCTGCTGAAAGCGTTGGCTTTTTTTCCCTTTTTTCATCCCACTTTCTTTTTTTTTTCAGTTTTACTTTCAGTTTCAAAAAGTTTGCACGGGTGGAAATCTTTCAGGAGAAAGCTGTAAAAAGTGAGCCGCCTTGAAAGGATCCCTGTTGGATGTGGGTTTTGTCTTACAGTCAGGTGAGACACAGAAAGAGGAAGGATGGTGGTTAAAGGGGCCCCTCATCCTTCAGGAGTGCAGCCAGTGATACAGGGAAGGTGAAGTAACGAGAAGAGGAAGGAGGGTGGAGGATGGAAATTTAGCCAAACACCCAGACTTTCCCTGGACGTCTTCTGAGGTCTGAATATATTTTTTAACATTTTTCTCTCAGGTGTGTGTGTGTGTGTGTGTGTGTGTGTGTGTGTGTGTGTGTGTGTGTCTGACTTTTATCAAAATATCTCGTGAACCACTGAATGGATTTTATTGAACTTATCAGAAAGTGTTGTATGTACTTATATGTATTTATGAAGTCAACCTGTTTTAGGATGTCCAGCACACTTAATTGACCCTTGGCAAGCATTAAGATGACTACGACTAGGATCAGATCTCAGCAGGACAATATGCATTCCTCCAAATTTATCTTTGTCTTAGCTCATCAAATAAATAAAAGAAATGTTGTGACTTTCAAAAACTAGCACATTTTAAATTTTGCAACTTTGAAATATGGTCCAGTTATTAAAGTTTCATAAAACAATATAGTCAACATATTTATACAAATTTATTTTTAGTAAATCCTGAACATTGTCTGAGAATGTTGCATGAGGACTGAAAGCCAATTTGCTGCTGGATTATTGCACTCATAATAATCTTTTCTTTAAAAAAAAAAAGAGGGTGGTGGTGGGGGGTTCAGTTGTGTAGAAACCAAATCTGTTTTAGTCAACAGTTCAATCTGATTAGTTTAGACCAAACAATAGACTGGGAGGAGTGTGCGCTGCTTAGGAAGGAAAAGTGCAGCATTTGTTCAGGAAAACTCAACCCGTGTGTTTCCCTGCTTTCGCACAGCTCTCCACTGGATGGAAAGGGAGGGTCTCCATGGAGAATTGGGAGAAATGCTTGACACCATAGTTTGTTGCTTACATCCTACGTGCCATGTATGTGTTTTGTTGACTATTCAAATAGCAATCTGTACGTCTCACTGTCAAGCTCAGAGAAAGGGGGAGAGTTTGACTGATGCTGTGTTGGGGAAAACGTTAGCCACTGGAGGGCAGACCACCGGCAGCAAAGCTCCACTTTGTGGGACCAACTCCAAATGAGAGTTCAACCAGCTGAAAATAGAATTRGTACACCTTTGGTTCTCATACCTGACTTAGTTCAGTGGTTATGGGTCTGTTCTGTGTGGTTTCATTTCCTGCAAGTAGATTTTAGTTAAAGCTGTTTTGTGATTTTGTGATTATAAAGAAGCAGTCGTTACACCATGTAGTCATGTGTCATCATAAAGCAAGTAKACTCCAACGGATAGACAAACACCTGCACAAACACACACATAAGTTTGTATTTCTATCCTTATTAGGACAGTGTACTGACTTCCATTTATTTCCAGTAGTTTCTATAGCATAACCCAGACTCCTTATCGTAAACCTAACCTAATTCACAACTTAGTCTTAAACCTAACCCCTGACCCGAAAATGGAGTTTCACCAAATCAGTACACACACACATGTTTGTTCCTGAACCCCGTAGGGACTGTGCATTGACTTCCATTCATTTTTTTTAGACTTTATAGCATAACCCTGATCATTTACCCTAAAATTAACCTCACAAGTACAACTGGTACTAAATATAACAGTCAGGTAACTTCATGTTTTTGTCAGGTAGTGTTCTACGAACATGAGTGATTAGTTGCTGATCAATTCKGTCCTGATGTATGATGAACTATTGGATTAAGGATGTAATATGGTACCGTTTGTACTCCAGTACCATCTGCATGTATTTGTATTTCTACTCATAAAACTGTTCCCATACCACAGTATCTACATACTTAATCTCTTAATGTATAAGGTGCCATGTCTGTCTTCTTGAATGGAGGAGGTCCAAGGCAGATCAGACTGAGAACTGAAAGTGGTTTTTTTTTTCCTTGTACTGTAATAGCTTTTATTTTTATTTTCTTATTCTGGTTGATTTTACTATATTATATTGCAACTTGTGTTGTTTGAAGGCAATATTTGCTTTAGTTTCATATTTTAAAAGTTTTGGTACAGTTCGAGCCTTCTTGCAAACAAAATGTGTCACTTTGACCATCAGTGTGTTGACTGTTTTGAAAATGTGAAGTTTGAGTTGACTGCTGCATTAAGGCAATCAAGAAAACTTTAGGTGGTAGAGGAGTGAAGTGTTTTTTTTTTTTGTTTGTTTGTTTTGTTTTGTTTTGGCCATCCTGATCAACACTCCTCACCAGCTGGTGGCAGTAACATACCATAAAGTTTGTTAAACTCCACTAAGCATTGCCTGACAAAGAAGAAGAAGCTGCAAATTATGCTCAGCAAGGTTGTCAAGAGGAGGGACGAAGTTYAGCATCTCGCTGTGTAAAAGACAGCTATTGTTATTCTCTATTTGAGGAGGCAACACAAAAAGTGAGCTCCTCTGATCTGAAAACACATTTTCACAATTGTGGTTAGAAGTRTTATGGCATTGAATATTTTAATTAATACTTTATCTGTAAGTTTGTTATAAGCTTCCTGTTTATTATTCTCTTATGGGGCATTTTGGTATTTTACTTTATAAATACTTACAGGGTCAGTYGCATTGAAGCCCAGCTTTGAGAGACACCAGCATTATCACCTATTTTACAATAGCTGCGTTTCCACTGACCATGAAAATGYRCAAATTAAAATTTCRAAAATAAATTTGCTCAATTGAAAMATGTCAATTTAAAAAATAATTACGTTTTTCGAYAAAAAGGTTTTGCGCTAGGATGAGGTGGTTTTTCRGCCGTATCRAAATTGATGTATTTCGCAAAACTGCGATGGAAACACTTTTTTTCGCATCACGTGAGTCACGTGATCAACAACCGGCTGTTTCTACTGGTGAAAAAGACGACAAAGAAGAAGATAACAGGAAGTAAAAGTGGTAGTGAAATCACCGAAGTAGTAAACGAAAGTAGTAAACTCACAGACTACATTTTCCCAAAAACGCAGCATACGTAGCCACTCCCAAKTATAAGGGGCTTGTCTCTTGAAAGCCTCCATAAAAAGTCAACGTCTCCTCTGATGGCTGATGATGAGCGCTAGTGTCGTGGTACCAACATGCTATGTGTTTACATTCATTGCCGCCATGTTTGTAATAACTTTGCAAGAACAAACGTGTTCACGTGTGACTTTAATAGCATTTCTTACTTAATGGAAACACCGCAATTGCGTAACTGTGTTTTTTCAACATTAACAGAATATCGACAAAGTTTTGCGCACATTTGCAATGGAAACACAGCTAGTGATTCATAGATAAAATTTTGCTGCTACATACATACTTGAAGTCTTTAAATGGGATCTACTTCATTAAACGACTTCTGTTTTGAGCAGCAGTTATTGTCTTCACCAATTCTTCAAGGTGAGATTGTTCTTACCGCTATCTACTGCAGGTAGGACACTGACCTCCTAAGTACCCCACACAACCCTGCTTAAAACATATTGGTCTATTCATCCGTTATTTAAACCTGCTTCTTCCTTTCATGGTTACAGGGGTCACTGGTGCCCATATCCAGTATTCACTGTGGAAGGGACACCTTGGACAGGAGTTACCAATTACCCTAACAGTCGTGTTTTTGATCTGTGGAAGGAAACCAGAGTGCCAGGAGAAAACCCACACATGCACAGAGAGAACATGCAAACCCTACTCAGAAAGGTCCCTGCCAGGATTCAATCCGGCAACCTCCTTGCTGAGAGGCAACGGCTCTGCTAACTGAGCCACTATGCTAGCCCCAACTTGATTATTTATTCAGAAATAATACCTTCACGTTTATATTGTTTTTTTTTTCCTGTGAAATATTGGGGAGTGTGTTTTAAACAGATCTCATTATTTTACCACTAAATGTGCGTCTATTACAACTTTCCTTTTTTTGTGCAGCGACGTCGCTGCGTGATTTGTCCTCCTGGTAGGCGTGTTTGTGATCTTCGGCGCCGAAGGATCTTGGTGTTCCGGTGTTTTCTGTCCGTGGAACAGTCGTTATCTGTGTGGTGTCTGTCGGGCCTTTCATTTTCAGTAACTGGCTCTTTAAGGGAACGGCACTCAAAAGGTAACAGCTATGAGATCATCGGCTTGCGTCGTCATGGCAACAAAGGCTGTTGCAGCACTACTGAGAAATAAAATGGCTGGCGTGGTGTCTCTTCCCCTCCTCCTCCTCTTTCTTTTTGGTGTCAGTGAACTGGAGCAGATTGGCTCTGACACTGCCCCCCCCCCACCCACACACACATGGCCCCTAATGCCCTCTCACTTTGCTCCTTCTTCTGTCCCTCCACCCCTCTTATTCACACTCCACACATGTGAGTCAGCAGGAGTCTGCTGAAAGCGTTGGCTTTTTTTCCCTTTTTTCATCCCACTTTCTTTTTTTTTTCAGTTTTACTTTCAGTTTCAAAAAGTTTGCACGGGTGGAAATCTTTCAGGAGAAAGCTGTAAAAAGTGAGCCGCCTTGAAAGGATCCCTGTTGGATGTGGGTTTTGTCTTACAGTCAGGTGAGACACAGAAAGAGGAAGGATGGTGGTTAAAGGGGCCCCTCATCCTTCAGGAGTGCAGCCAGTGATACAGGGAAGGTGAAGTAACGAGAAGAGGAAGGAGGGTGGAGGATGGAAATTTAGCCAAACACCCAGACTTTCCCTGGACGTCTTCTGAGGTCTGAATATATTTTTTAACATTTTTCTCTCAGGTGTGTGTGTGTGTGTGTGTGTGTGTGTGTGTGTGTGTGTGTGTGTGTNTGTGTGTGTGTGTGTGTGTGTGTGTGTGTGTGTGTGTGTGTGTTTCGATCTGTTGATATTTGCTCTCCTCTCTGCCTTCTGTGTGTCCTCCTTCTCTCTCCCTCTTGCATCCTCTCCTCCCTTCCCCTCAGCCTCAATCACCCAGACACAGACGCATGCATGCTCATGCAGAATCGCGCGCAGCAGGCGGATGCGTACATACGCACTCTCTGTCTCTCTCTCTCTCTCTCACTCTCTCTCTCTCTCACTCTCCCGCTCTCTCGCTGTCTCACACACACACACACACGCACACACACACACATACTCACACACCCTTCCTGGAGGTGCTGGGAGCAGCTGCAGCATTAGCGTTGAAAGAGATTTGCCGTTGACTGGAGTTTGCATCCCCCCACCCTCCCTCCTCCTCCTCCCTCTCCTCCTCCTCCCTGTTAATGAATGGATGCTACGATCAGCTCGGGAGCTTCTTCTGTTGGATTGCGGGAAACTGTGGATATCTGCTTTTGAATTTATTTATTTATTTCTATGCTCTCCATTTTTCTCTCTCCCCCCACCCCCCCGCCGCCAACACCACCACCACCACCACCCTCTGCTGGTGTGCTGTTGTCGAAAGGACGATGGGGTCTTGTGGTTGACGGGGTAAAGATGGAAGTGAACGTGGCGTCTCCGGAGCTGGGCTTACTATCGAGGCTTCTCTGGCCCCTGGGCTGAATAGAGCTTTTATTTCTGCTTCTCCTTCAAGCCAGCTCTTTTGTTTTACGGGGGGATTGGCCGAGCACTCCTGTGGTGAATTGAGCTATTGTCGAAGACTGGGCCTCTTAAGCTTTGCAACTGTGACCAACCATCCATCTTCTCCTGTCCCCCCCACCCTCCCCACCCCCCTCTTGGTTTTCTTTCTACCAAAAAGGAACAAGCGGATCCCGAAAGCTCCACTGGAAATCTTTTCTCGCCGTMCTCCTTGCCTCCAATGCCCCATTTCCCTCATCTCTACCCCTGCCACCCCCCCACCTCTCCTCTCTCCTGCTCCCTCCTCCCACATCAGAGCGGCTACGTAATGTGCCTCCCTACGCATGCAAATGGGGATGCTACAAATGGTGGCTGGGACCGATGTCGATGAAAGGGTGATGCCGCGCGCGGTCACCCGCACCTCCGCCGCCACTGCCATCGCTCCAGACCAGCCGGGGAGAGCCCAGCAGCCGAGGACGAGAGCCCACAGCGCGAACGCGGTCGTCTGTAGCCCGCCCGTGGCCGTGAATGAGATGCGTGAATGCGCGTGAAGGTGCACCCTGGTTCCCTGCCATGTCTGGCGTGTGATCGCTTCAGCGGGACGTTCTCACTGATGCGGGGGAGGCACTGAGCCTGAGGTTGGTCGACCTCCCCCTTCCCCACCCCCCTCC